TCCCCTTGTCCTGATTTCTTTCTTACCCTGAAAACCACATGATACATGATGTAATTATTTATTATTGTTCCTGTCTCACTAAGTGTGTGCTCCATGAGAGCAGGGAGCCCATTCCCAGGACCTGGAACTTGTTGGTATATATTAGGTCTCAAGGAACATTTTTTGGGTTGTGTGGTTTACAATGGCTTCCTGGATAGCTTTATTGCTTCCCAGAAAAGTTCTACCCTAAACCACCTTGCGTTCACTCTGAGTAATGGGTCTGTAGCCAAACAGCAATTCCTAGACAGAGACCACCCACTCGGCACTGGGATGGGCCTGTTTTGTGCTTGGCTCTTCTACCTTTTGCTTCTCTGCTGCTGCTGAGGCTAAACAGGAGCAGACAGAGACTGAGAACAGGAGCAGGGGCACCTAAAAGAAAGAGACGCTGACTCACATAGTGGGGGGTAGGGCCAAGGGCCCTACTTTTATAGAGCCACACAGAATAATCCTTCGTAACAGGCAGAACTTACCATCCTCTCTTCCAATCGTCCAACTGTCTAGTACCACAGACCTGGTAAAGCTGCTTATAGATGGTCTTTCATACCCAATCGAGGAAAGAGTCTACTTTTGACTGCACCACTGAAGGTAAGACTTGAATGTGTCTCATCAATATGCAGCCATTGCAGTTCTTTCACGTGGAAGATCATGTGTACTCCTTTGACCCTTTACAGAGCTGATTCCATTGAAGCAATTCTTCATCAGCAGTTCACATTCTATCTAAACTTGTATTTCAAAGCTGTGTTTGGCATAGAGATAAACTTAACTGGTTTGAAAGGTTGTTTTGTGTGTTGGCATTTGGCCTTGCTGGGCAGTGGGAGCTTTTGAACTGACAATTCAAACAGCTATGAAGATGGAAAGTGGTCACATGGATAGGGCTGTGGGTCAAATGAAGAAACATTTTTGGATTAATATGAATGGAATTTTTTTTTTGCATGACATTGATTTTAAAAATCTGATAAAAGTAAGCGGCTCACAGGGTGGGGGAGTGAGGGCTGAAAAATAACATTTGGACTTTAGTAAGATAATTAACTCAGCACTCAGCTATATTATGTATCCTCCATTTGTCCCTCACAACTTGCAGCTTGTGCCACATGTGCAAGCATTTCTCCTTGTCACTAGGGCTTGCTGGCTCTGGGCACAGAGAACGGACAGTGAGTACCCCCTGGAAACTCCTTTCCTTCAGGATGCAGGGTGGTGGAAATGTGAAAATATGTGTTTGGTGATTCAGGGCATTTAATGCCCATTTATTGAATTATAAAATGAGGCCCAGATAGGAGACAGGCGGAGATCATGACCTTTTATTAAGGACCTTCCAGCAGGTTATAAACCAACTCTGGAGCAAGCATACACACCTGTTTCCATCTTTGCGCCACCTACCCTGACTCACTCAGTAAGACGGTAGGTCCAAGATTCATTCTCCTAGCCCTAGAAAGTGCCTGGCACAGGATACTCAATAATGATTGCTTAAAAGAATTAAATGATCACAAAACAGAATTTCAGAAATGGAGGGACTTTAGAGATCGAGTCCAAGAACCTGATTTCATAGAGAAGTGTGTGAAGAGCTGAAATAATCTGCCGAAGATCCCATAAGGCTGACAGCCACCAACAATCAGGGCTTTTGGTTCCTTGCCAGACCTTTTTCCACTAGAAAAACAAACATTTCAGAGCTGGAAGTGGTCTTGGCACTCGTGAAATCGCTTTATGTTTTGTGTGTCTGTGTGTAAATGTGAGTAAGTTCTGGGTCACAACTGATTTCTTTCAGCTTGTGGTATAAAAAAGAAAAAAAAAAAAAGAAGTTGTCTTTCGAATGCTCTTATTTTATAGATGAGAAGACTGAGGTCCAGAATCAGGACTCATTCTCTAGGAACTAAACCTGGGGTTTTCCTGAGTCAAAGTGCCAGGCTCTCCAGAGCTTAGCCAAAGTGCCTGTTGGGTGGTGAGACTATGTCACCCCACCACAGTAAAACACTCCACGAGGACCGTGAGCTGTGGCAGTGCTTAGCACAATCAGTACTCAGAAAGTGTTTGCTGAATGAACATAGTACTAAGGGTATTTTGAGGTGGGCCATGTAAAGAACAGCTACATTACAATGTCAAAATACACTTTTAACAGGACACTTAACATCTAAATGTATTTCCAGCTATCCAGGCTGTGTACATTTATTTCAATATGCTGCTGCTGTTCAAAATCCTTCTGAAAGCTTTCCTTTGGCATTTCCTCCTGAGTTCTTGAAGTCCTATAAAACCAAGGTCTCATTACTTGAGAGCCACATCTTCTTTCTGACCTAAACACAACTTTTTAAGTAAGATTTCCTGTCATGTTCATCATATTTTATTTATTCAAAGATGTTTATTAAATGTATTTTGTAGGCAAGTATTACTGACTTCAACTCTGTATGATCAGAGCATATTCACTGAATGCCAGGCATTGTCTTTATAAGTACTTCTTATAAATGATTTATTTCATCTCCCTCAACAACTTTAAAGGGTCAGTATAGAAAGTGAGGCTTAGAGAGATAAAACTGGTTGGCCTATGACACAAAGCTGGGAAGAGATGGATTTAAATCCAGGTCTGACTGTAGAGTTCAATGGCTTCAACATTCTGATATTTACCAAGTTAGAACATATCCTTCAACATAATTTTTAAGGGCTCTGTGGCATTCCATTGTACACATGGACTGATGTACCAAAACAGCCTTCTTCTGTAGAACATTTCTATTATTTCCACTAGTAATATTTTAAAAATTCTGTGATGAATATCCTTGGAGATAGATCTTTACATGTGTCCCTTGATCTTTTCTTCAGAAGAAAATTCTAGATACATGTTTTTAAGGCTTTTTAACTGCCTTCTTCAGTATATGAGGTCATTGCTTTCCAGTAGTTATATTATTTTAATTACTGTCAATTTGGGATATATAAAAGGATAACTTCAAATGTTTATTAGTGAGGAAAACATTTCTTTTTTTCATTTGTATTCTAGTTTTGTGAACTGCCTTTTGTTGCATTTTAAAAAATTAAGATATATGTCTTTTGCCATCTGCTTTGCAAGTTTTTTTCTTTTTAAAATAATTTTATTTATTTTTTTATTTTTGGTTGCACTAAGTCTCTGTTGTTACACCAGCCTTTCTGCAGTTGTGGAGCCCAGGCTTATCATTGTGGTGACTTCTCTTGTAGAGCACGGGCTTCAGTAGTTGTGGCACATGGTGGCCTCACAGCCTGTGGGATCTTCCTCGACCAGGGATCAAACCTCTGTCTCCTGCATTGGTAGATGGATTCTATACCACTGAGCCACCAGCCCTGCAAGAGTTTTTAAAATTAAGGGCGTGTCGCACAGAGTTGGACACGACTGAAGCGACTTAGGAGCAGCAGCGTTTGTCTACATTTCATACTGCCAACATTTTATCCTTGTTTGTGATTTAGCTTTTCATTCTTTTAAATTAAATCTGTTTCAAAGTTTTATGCAGGCAAATCTATGTATCTTTTATGATTTTTGCTTTGAAAAACATTTATGACTCAAAATTATATAGGCACTTTCTATATTTTCTAGTGATTTTCTTTAAGGTATTCTAAAAAATAACTCATATTTGAAAATTTATATTGGTGACTGGTATGCAGTGGAAACTCTAGCTTAATTTTTCCAAATAGAAACCAACTATCCCAGAACCCTGTGCTTGAATAATATTTTCCCCCTCTGATTTTTAAATTGATATATCTCATTGGATTAAAGTATACAGCATAATGATTCAGATATGTAAATACTGCAAAATAATCACCACAATGAGTCTAGTTAACATCCATCACCATAGGTACAGATTTTTTTCTTCTGAAGAGAACTTTTTAAGATTTACTCTCTTAACAGCTTTCAAGTATGTAATACAGAATTATCAACTATAGTCAACATGCTGTACATTACATCCCCATGACTTACTTATTTTATAACTTGAAGTTTATAAAGGTCTGTCTAGTCAAAGCTATGGTTTTTCCAGTAGTCATGGATGGATGTGAGAGCTGGACTATAAAGAAAGCTGAGTGTCAAAGAATTGATGCTTTTGAATTGTGGTGTTGGAGAAGACTCTTGAAAGTCCCTTGGACTGCAAGGAGATCCAACCAGCCCATCCTAAAGGAAATCAGTCCTGAATGTTCATTGGAAGGACTGATGCTGAAGCAGAAACTCCAATACTTTGGCTACCTGATGAACTGACTCATTAGAAAGACCCTGATGCTCGGAAAGATTGAAGGCGGGAGGAGAAGGGGATGACAGAGGATGAGACGGTTGGATGGCATCACTGACTCAATGGACATGAGCTTGAGTAAGCTCCGGGAGTTGGTGATGGGCAGGGAAGCCTGGCATGCTGCAGTCCATGGGGTCGCAAAGAGTCAGACATGAGTGAGTGACTGAACTGATGACTGATGAAACCTTTTAACCTTCTTAACCAGTTTTACCCACTGCCACTCTACCTCTGATTTAAATGCAATTTTTGTCATATACTAAACACATGTATATACTAATACTTAGGTCTGTTTCCTGGCTTTAAATTTTATTTTACTGATCTGTCTATTCTATGCCAAATCTCGCTTCATAACAAATTTAAGAGTTAAAATATGACAAAAACCACTACAATATTGTAAAGTAATAAAAAAAGAAAAAAAAGAATTAAAAAAGTAAAATATTAGTTTAAGGTGTACAACTTGTTGATACGATATTCATATATGGTGGAAAATTATCACAATCAAGGTAACTGACATAGTCATCACTTCACATAGTCACTTTTTTCTTTTCTCTTCTTTTTCTTTTCATTTTTGTGGTAAGAAAACCTAAGATCTACCCTCTTAGCAATTTCAAGTGTAAAATACAGTACAGTTAACTACAGTCACATTGGTATTCATGTACTTATCTTTTTTAATGTACCTTGGTAAAGTTTTGTTCTTTTCTTCAGGTAGATCTTCATACATTTTAAGTTTCTTTTAAAGTTTGTTCCCGATGATATATATACATACATGTACATACATGCAAATATATATGCACACATATATACAGGGATACCGTGGAGATACTATGCATCCAGGTCCAGATTCACTGTAATAAAGTGAAAGTTACAATAAGTGAGCCATATGAATTTTTTTGGTTTTCTGGTATATATAAAAGTTACATTTACATACTACAGCCTATTAAATATACACTAGTATCATGTATAAAAATGTACATATCTTTATTAAAAATATTGTTAAAAAGTGCTATCATCTGATCCTTGAGTGCGTAGTAATCTTTTTGCTGGTGGAGGGTCTTGCCTTGATGCTCATGGCTGCTGACTGATCAGGGTGGTGGTTACTAAAAGCTGGTGTGACTGTGGTAATTTCTTAAAATAAGGCAACAACAAATTTTGTCACATCAATGGACTCTTCCTTTCACAAATAATTTTCTATAGCATCTGATGCTATTTGGTAGCATTTTACCCACAGTAGAACTTCTTTCAAAATTGAAATCAATCTTCTCAAGCCCTGCTGTTGTTTTATCAAGTTTATGTAATAGTCTAAACCCTTTGTTATCATTTCAAGTTTTTGGTTTTAATCATTTCAAGTTTTATCCATTAAGGTTTTATCATGAGGTTGCAGCAATTCAGTCACATCTTTAGGCTCTACTTCTGATTCTAGTTCTCTTGCTATTTTCATCTGCAGTCACTTCCTTTATTGAAGTCTTGAACCCCTCAAAGTCATCCATGAGGATACAAACCAAATCCTTTGAAACTCCTGTTAATGTTGATATTTTGACTTCTCCCCATGAATCACAATGCTTTTAATGGAATCTGAAATGGTGAATCCTTTCTAGAAGGTTTTCAGTTGACTTTGCCCACATCCATCAGAGGAATCATTATCTATTGCAGCTATAGCCTTATAAAATGTATTTCTTAAATAATAAGACTTGAAAGTCAATTACTCGTTGATCCAAGGACTGCAGAATGGATGTTGTGTTAGCAGTCATGAAGAAAACACTAATCTCTTTGTAAATCTCCATCAGCGGTCTTGGGTGACCAGGTGCATTGTCAGTGAGCAACAGTATTTTGAAAGGAATCATTTATTTTTCTGAGTAGTAGGTCTCAAGAGTAGACATAAAATAGTCAGTAAACCATGTTGTAAACAGATGTGCTATCATCCAGGCTTTGTTTTCCACTTAGAGAGCACAGGTAGGGTAGACTGAGCATCATTCCTCAAGGGCCCTAGGACTTTCAGAATGGTAAATGAGCGCTGGCTTCAGCTGAATGACACCAGCTGCATTAGCTCCTAACAAGAGCCTGTCCTTTGAAGATTTGAAGCCAAGCATTGGTTTCTCCTCTCTAGGTATGAAAGTCCTAGGTAGCATCTTCTTCCTATAGAAGGCTGTTTCATCTATATTGAAAATCTGTTGTTTAGCCACCTTCATGAATTATCTTAGCTACATCTGCTGGCTAAGTTGCTGCAGCTTCTACATCAGGACTTTCTGCTTCACTTTGAATTAATGCTTTTATGTTATGGAGATGGCCTCTTTCCTCAAACCTCAAGAACCAACCTCTCCTAGTTTCAAACTTCTCCTCTGCGGCTTCCTCATCTCTCTCAGCCTGCACAGAATTGAAGAGAGTTAGAGTCTTGCTCTGGATTAGGCTTTGGTTTAAGAGAATGTTGTGGCTGGTTTGATTTTCTATCCATTCTCTGTATCAGCAATAGGCTGTTTTTCTTTCTTATTATTTGTTTTCTCTTGAGTAGCACTTTTAATTTCCTTCAGGAATTTTTCCTTTGCATTCACAACTTGGCTAACTGTTTGGCTCAAGAGGCTTAGCTTTCAAGCTGTCTCAGCTTGTGACATGCCATCCTTACTAAGCTTAATCCTTTGACTTAAAGTGAGAGACATGACTCTTCCCTTCATTTGAACAGTTAAGAGGCAATTGTAGGGTTAGTAATTGGCCAAATTTCAATACTGTTGTGTCTCAGAGAAGTCCAAGAGGAGGGAGAGAGATGGGGGAATGGCCAATTGGTGGAGCAGTCAGAACACACATAACATTTATGAAGTTCAGCATCTTACACGGGAGTGTTTGTAGCATCCCCCAACAACAACAGTAACATTCAACATCCCTGATCACAGATCACCGCAACAAACATAATAATAATGAAAAAGTTTGAGATATTGCAAGAATTACCAAAATGTGATGGAATAAAGTAAACTGCAATAAAACAAGGAATACATTTTTATGTACTTATGTAAATTATATTTAGGTATTTATGTAAGTTTTAATATTTATATGTATATGTTTTATGTATTTATATAAAATTTCTATAATTGCTACTTGAATGGGATATTTATCTTCTCATTTTAGTTTCAAATGGATTATTGACAGTGAATATTAATTTAGTCTTTCAGCAAATACTGTGTGCTAGGCACAGTGCTAAACACCAAGACTATACTAGCACAAGACAGACATGGTCTGTGTACAGTATTTATAAATTGTAAAGTATTGATCATCCTTGCTTCAGGGTGATGATGGTATGTTGGAATGGAATGTTATGGAATGCTTAGTGATGGAACGTTATTTTAATATATTGTACTAACGGATTAGATTTGGCAGTACTCCATTTTGAGTGTATGTTTATACATTCCATATAAGTAGCTTAAGTCAGACTAGTCTGATCTGGGCTGTGTGTGTGTGTGTGTGTGTGTGTGTGTGTGTGTGTGTATTTTAGCTTTGTAAAATAAATTAAGAATCTTGCTTTATTTCTATAGTTTATATAGCACTGGAATTAAGTTTTTCATTCTTATTCCTTGACAATCACATTTAAATCATAAAGTTCAAAGTAGAAGATTAGAACTGACATAGGCACTTGGTTTCTTGACTCTCAGACATTTGAAAGAATTTATAAAATTGGGTGAGAACAGAGATTTACACAACAATAATCCAGATGACAGAAATGTATTTCTTGTTTTGGTTCGGTCCCCAAATGGGATAACAGTGGTCTTATATGTATACTTCCTGAAAGAGCTAATTTTTTTTCATCCAGGGAAGACACCAAATATGCCCTCATCCTAGAGCTGTTCATACTCTCTACAGTAAAGACTTGTCTGATGCTTTGGGGCACGAGTGATCAATTTGCTATGTATGAGGTGAATAGAAAATTCCAGTGATGACACCTAGGGTCAAAAAGCAGCATGATCGTTGCTCCTTTCTCAAAGAATCTCTCAACATCATACACAAATTAGAGTCATACTTCTTGTCTTCATTCTCTGAGTCCTTCTGAATTTGTACAACTATAATTAAATCTATCAGGCCAGTTCCATGCCTCCTGCAGAGTCCAATACACAACCAGGCACTGAGCCCCAAACCCTGATTCTGAGATATAATATCAGTTCAGTTCAATCACAGAGTCATGTCCCACTCTCTGCAACCCCATGGACTGCAGCACACCAGGCTTCCCTGTCCATCACTAACACCCAGAGCTTACTCAAACTCATGTCCATCGAGTCAGTGATGCCACCCAACAATCTCATCCTCTGTCGTCCCCTTTTCCTCCCACCTTCAATCTTTCCCAGCATCAGGGTCTTTTCAAATGAGTCAGTTCTTAAGATCACGTGGCCAAAGTATTGGAGTTTCAGCTTCAGCATCAGTCCTTCCAATGAATATTCAGGACTGATTTCCTTTAGGATGGACTAGTTGGATCTCCTTGGAGTCCAAGGGACTCTCAAGAGTCTTCTCCAACACCACAGTTCAAAAGCATCAATTCTTTGGTGCTCAACTTTCTCATATCCATACAAGACTACTGGAAAAATCATAGCTTTGACCAGATGGACTTTTGTTGACAAAGTAATGACTCTGCTTTTTAATATGCTGTCTACATTGGTCATAACTTTTCTTTCAAGCAGCAAGTGTCTTTTAATTTCACAGCTGTAACCATCATCTGCAGTGATTTTGGAGCCTCCAAAAATAAAGTCTCTCATTGTTTCCCCATCAATTTGAAGTGATGGGAACGAATGCCATGATCTTAGTTTTCTGAATGTTGAGTTTTAAGCCAACTTTTCCACTCTCCTCTTTCACTTTTATCAAGAAGCTCTTCAGTTCTTCTTTGCTTTCTGCCATAAGGGTGGTGTCATCTGCATATCTGAGGTTATTGATATTTCTCCCAACAATCTTGATTCCAGCTTGTGCTTCATCCAGCCTGGCATTTCTCATGATGTACTCTGCATATAAGTTAAATAGACAGGGTGACAATATATAGCCTTGACGTACTCCTTTCCCGATTTGGAACCAGTCTGTTGCTTCATGTCCAGTGTTAAATGTTGCTTCTTGACCTGCATACAGATTTCTCAGGAGGTATGTCAGGTGGTCTGGTATTTCCACCTCTTGAAGAATTTTCCAGTTTGTTGTGATCCACACAGTCAAAGGCTTTGGCACAGTCAGTAAAGCAGAAGTAGATGTTTTTCTGGAATTCTCATGCTTTTTTGATGATCCATTGGATGTTGGCAATTTGATCTCTGGTTCCTCTCCCTTTTCTAAATCCAGCTTTATAATATAATCCCGCTCATAATGTTTTTCTTTATATCCCTGAATGTATTTTCCAGTTTTTAAGTTTAAGCACCTTCTTACCTTCCCCAAGAACTTTTTCAGCACGTGGGGTTCCGAAATCCCTTTCTAATAGCTATTGTGTTCATTTTCTATTGTCATGTAACAAACTGCCACAAGCTTAAAACAACCTCCATTTATTATCTTACTGTTCTGTAGTCAGAAGTCTGGTGGGCTTGGCGAGGTACTTGCCTCCAGATCTCAAAATGTCAAAATCAAGGTGTTAATAGGGCTTTGTTTCTTTCTGGAGACTCTGGATAAGAATCCACTAACACGTTCACTTTGGTTGCTAGTGAAATATGGTTCCGTGTGGTTGTAGGGCTGAGGTCTAGTTTACTGTCTGGCTGATAGCCTGGGGCCCCTTTCAGCTCCTTGTGTTTTTTAGTATTTCTTGTCACATTGCTTCTACATCTTCAAAGCCAGCAATGATGCACTGAGTCTCCACGCTTCAAGTCTGTCTGACTTCTCTTTCTGTTCTCTGCTTGTAAAGGCTCATGTGATTAGACTGGGCTCACCCAGATCAAAGAGAAAAATCTCTTTATTTTAAAGTTGGTAACCTTAGTCACATCTGCAATGCCCTTTTACCATTTTATATAATATATGTTCTAGGGATTAGGGCATAGGCATCTTTGTGGGATTATTATGTTTATCAAAGTTTTCATCTCTTTATTTTCTACACAGGATATTTTGGAATCATCATGTCCCTTGAAGAAGTAGAAGACAATTCCACCCATTTGGAAAAAATAAAACTACCACCCACATCATGCCCCAAACTCACATAGACATCATGCTTTCAGCTTATGACCATAAAGTTGTTTGAGTCTGGCATCAGGCTCATTTGGTGGATTTAATATTTGAGATCACCAAATATTGACACACCATTAGGTGGCACTTGATTAGAAAGTTCGCTGCTGTCTAAATTTTTCCAAGGCAGCAATCTGCAAGATGCAGAGGAAACTGATGTAGATAGTGGGCAGAGTTGGGGATGGCATTCTTAAGTCACTAAAGGAAAATCCTTAAAGGCACAAACTATCCAAGACGTGAATATAATTTGTATATGCAAGCTGATATTAGTTAATTATTGCTTAGCAAATGTAAATGGAGTATTTAAAATCTTTTCACGCATGATATTTTAAAAAAAAATCCTGCAGTCAAAAAATTCCCTCTAATATATTTTTATTACCTATAGCATTTGTCCTATGTTAACAATTGAGTAAATACTCATGGAAAACTTAATATGCAAGGTAGTCATATAATGAGCACCACTATGCTCTCCTATCTACCTTTGGCCCATATTTTGCACCAAGCTGGGTTTCTCTGAAATAGCACTGTCCAACAGAAATAGAATGCCAGCCATATATGTAATTTTTCACAGCTTTTTCGAGACATAATTTACATACCATAAAGTTCACATGTTAAAGCATATGATTCAATGTTTTTCAGTATATTTATAGAGTTGTGCAATCATCACATAATCTAATTTTAGAACTTTTTCATCATCCCCAAAAGAAAAGTTGTACCCATAAGCAGTCATTCCCATTCTCCCCTACACAGAGGCCTAGTTCACTGTTAATCTACTTTCAGTCTCCAGAGAATTTCCTATTCTTGACTTTCCATACAGATGGGATCATATAATATGTGGTGTTCTGTGATGGCTCTTGCACTTAGTATAATATTTTTAAGGTTCATTAATATTGGAGCATCCATAAGTACTTGATCCCTTTTTATGGCTGAATAATATTCCAGTGTGTGGTTATAGCATATTTGTTTATCTATTGATCAGCAGATGAACATCTGAGTTGCATCTGATTTGGGGCTATTTTGAATATGCTGCTATGGAGCATTCTTTATGTAGAATGTGGATATGTAGACGTGAAACTGCTGACTAGAGATAACTCCATGTTTAGTTTTTTGAGGAACTGCCCAACTGTGTCAAAAATGGCTGTACCATTTTATATTATCAACACATATGCAATTTAGAAAAGTTTTATTGAGGTATAATTGATACACAATGAAATGTACTAATATGAAGTATATAAATTGGTAAGTTTTGACATGTATATATCTGTAAAGTCATAACCACAATCAAGATAATGACCATAAGCATCACTCCAAAATTTGCCTCATGCCTCTTTGAAATGCATTTTCCCCATCCTTCCACACTCCATAATCCTGTTATTCCCAAGCAAACACTGATCTGCTTTCTGTCACTATGGTTTAGCTTGTACCTTCTAGAATTTTACATAAATGGAATCACCTTTTGACAGGCTTTTCACAGCATTAAGTATTTCAAGCTTCATGTGTTGAACAGATCAATGATTCATTCTTTTTTATTGGTGAATAACATATATATATATATATATATTTGTCCATTCACTCATTACTGATGGATATTTGGGTTATTTCTAGTTTTTGTTGTTGTTCAGTTGCTAAATCATGTCCAACTCTTTGCGATCCCATGGACTGCAGCATGCTAGGCTTCACTATTCTTCGCTATTTCCCAGACTTCGCTCAAACTTATGTCCATGGAGTTGATGATGCTATTTAACCATCTCATCCTTTGTCGCACCCTTCTCCTCCTTAGGGGTATTACAAATAAAGCTGCTATGAACATTCATGTATAAGACTTTGTATGGACATTATGTTGTATTTTAGGGGGGAATATACCTAAATGTAATATTTGGATTATGTGGTAGGTACATATCAAACATTTTAAGAAACTTTCAAACTTCTTTCCAAAATGGTTTGATTTTATATGATTCAATGTGACTTTCTCTGAGCTTACCCTACTTAAGATGGCTGATTTAAAATCTTTGTCAAGTTTAATGCCTGGGCTTCTTCAGGGACAGTTTTATATTGACTGCTTTTTCCTCCATGTATGGGCCATACTTCCTTGTTTCTTGCATCCCTTGGGGTACAAGAAATGGGTCTTAGGCAAGTTAAAATGCCACAAAGCTCAATGGTCTGATCAGGATGCTACTGTTTTTCTGGAAAAAAATGCTTCCCAGGCTGCTTCAAGCTTTTGATTACCGTCCAGAGTTCTGAAAAAGTTGATTCTGACAGTTTTTGCCAGTTTTTAGTTGCACTTTTAGAGGGGAAAGCTTTAGGTGTTTCTTACTCTGTTATTTTCACTGATGTCACGCCTCTAAATTTTAAAAATCTGGTTTACTTTATACTTGCAACCCTACTCTCCCAATCAGCCACATTCCAAGTACTCAGTAGCTACATATGGCTAATAGCCACCATGTTGGACAGTATAGGTTTATAAGAAAATTTCTAAGCAGAGTTACTTAAAGGAATATAAATGAAAAGTAAGGTCTTTAATTGTTTTTTTATACTTTGCCATGAAACGGTTTTCATGGCAAGGTAGGGACTCTATGAACCACAGGTTGCAAATAATAACAGCTACCACTACTTCAGCACTTTACTTAGTGCCAGGTAACACTTTAAGATGTACATGTATTAACACTTTTATTCTTTATAACAACCTAATAGAGTAGATATTATTGTGCTTTAAGAATGCAGAAAGCAAAACATTAAGAAGTTAAACAACTTACCCCAAGTCTCACAGTTAAAAGGTAGTAGAGCCCAGGTGCAAACCTTGAAAGTCTGGTTTAAAGTTCATGCTGTTAGCCACCACTCCATGCTACTTAGCAGACCTTAAAGGAGGAATTCAGAGAAAAATTATTTTGGCCAAAAGAGGATAGGGTGGGGAGGAAATAGTACTATATAGAATATTTAACTATTAAGAAAGTCTAATAGACACTTATAAGAAAATGTATTCATTGAGGGCTAGAATATACCTGTACCTAACCTATTACTTGATATTTAGTAGGCACTCAGATACTAGATACTTTTTACATCAATTTAAAAAGTATGAATACTCAGTGAATATTTGTTGAAGAAATGAGTCATTGTATGTACTAGGTTTTCACAAATGGCTCCCTCCACGTCATTTTTAAAGGAGAGACACTGAAGATCAGAGTTGTGGAATCATTCCTCCCCTCACTAGCTAGTTAGTGCAGGGATTAGACTAGAGATCAGTCCTCAAATTCCAGATCTTCTACCCTCTAGCTTTTTCTGAGTTCAAAAAGGATCAGAGTTACAAAGGATAAAAGCTTATTCCATATCACATGATCAGGTTTCATTTATGTGCATGCAGATTTTGTGACTGGGGAGGGGGAGAGAAGGTGTTTCAACTGCGGCCATCTGGGTACTCTATTCACTTGCCTACTTAGTAGACAGTCTTCGAAGAATGGAGCTAAAAAGAGAGGCAGGAAGAGTTCAATTATGGAAAATGTGAGCAGAAGTATAAACACATAGTAACAATTACTTTAATAGTTGTTCCAGTAGCTGATATCCTTGGTGACCCTGCCATCTCTAAGCTCTAATTCACTACAGAGATCTGGAGAACTGAGAAAGGCCTTCCTTGAGCAAACATTTACTGAGCATGTACTATGTGGCAGTGGATAGTTCTGCCTTAGAAGACATATACATCAATAAAAATTGTATGATACATTGTGATTGTATAAACTACAATAAGGAAATATGCAATGTACTTTGAGAGAAAAAAGGGATGGAGCAGGAACTAATTGCCTGGGAGGTTTACAGAGAACTTTTTAAAGGACACACCTAATCCAGGAGTAGAATGGCTGAATTGAAGAATAGGTGTGTTTAACTTTATAAGAAACTTCCATGCCTTTTCCCAAAGCAGTTGCTCCATACTGCACTCTTAACTGGCAGTCCTGCTTCATATCCTCTCCAACATTTGGTGTTGTCATTTAAACTTTTGACTTCTGAGCTGGATTCTCACACATGAGTAGTTGTAATGGGAAAACAGCAATCTATGTAGAGGCAAAAGTGTAGTTATAAGTTATATTTGGGCTCAGGTGAAGGGTTATAAAGAGGGATGGCAGTAGGAAGGCTGTTAAAGTGATTAAGGGGTGGATGGTCAATGACCAGACCACAGAGTGTGACTTTCTTCTTAGGAAGGCATCTCCCGTGGTGAGGGAAGACTGACTAACGACCAATAAAGGGGAAGAACTAGAGTTGGGCAAATTAGTTAGATATGATGAAAGTTTAAACTACACCTGAGAGCAGGAGGAGGTGAGGAAGAGATTTAGGAGAGGTAGAACTGACAGAACTTGGTGATCAATTAGATAAATGGGCAAGGAAGGAAAAAGTTGGGAATACCTTCTATTAATAGAGATAGAAAAAGTAGAAATAGACTGGGCTGTGGAGTTCAAGAGAAGATGAGTTCTGTTTTGATAATCAACTTGCCTGCAGAATATCCCAAGGGGCTGACCTATATAGGTTTTGAGCCTAAAGCTGGGAAGGCAATCAGGGTTAGAAACAGAGTTTTGAGAGTAATTAGATGATAGGCGAATTCATGGCAGTCAAATTGAACACCTAGGAGGAGCTTATAGTGACAAAAGGCTTGTTGGGGTGGAGGCACCTTGACACAAGAAAAGGACAGAGGTGTTCTGAAAGCATGCTAAGAGGAGGTAAAAGAGGCAAGATAATGAGGAAAAAGTGCCTGGGTGAAAGTTGAGGGGATAAGAAGTCAGGAGAGCATGGTCCTCCAAGTCAGATGCTAAGATGAGGTAGGATGAGGACTGAAAACTGGCTACTAGGTCTGCCTACTAGGAATTTTCTGGTTATCAGGAGAAGGGATGCTACAGAGAAGGTAGGGGCAGATTGCAGTGGGTTTAGGAGTCTGGGTGAGAAGAGGTCTGGTTGGTGTTTACAGAGGTGCTTTGTGAATATTCCAATTGCTATGTGGGTTAGGGAATGAGGAGAGGGTGTTCCTTACTCAGAAGAGGAGCTTGGAGTTCGCAGATAGCGCCAAGAAATCTTGCAGCAGCCCAAGGATTGGCTAATTTTGTCAGAGAATTCATGTAAAAATTACATTTTGAAGTAAATAATATGTGGTTTTCCATCATGTGCTGTTTTACCTTCTTCATGAAATGTTGCTATCAATCATATTTAACAGCCAAGGTAGAAACAATCCAAGTGCCCATCAACAGATGATTGTCATCTGTGTACTCCATACATAATGGAATATTATTACTCATCCATAAAAGAATGAAATATTGCTATTGTATCAACATGGATGGACCTAAAGAGTATTATACTTAGTGAAATAAGTGACAGAAAAAAATGAATATTACATATCACTTATATGTGAATCCAAAAAATACTAATAATACAAATCGATCTATATTCCAAACAGAAACAGACTCACAGTTACAGAAAGTTAATTTATGGTTACCAAAGATGAAAGGTATGGGGAGAGAAAATCAAGAATATGGGATTAACAGATACAAACTGCATAAGATAGATAGGCAGCAAACATTTACTGTATAGCACCAGGAGTTATATTTGATGTTTTATAATAATCTATAATGGAAAATAATCTGAAAAAACATACAACTGACTCACTTTGCTCTATACATGAAACTAATACAATATTGTAAATCAGCCATACTTATTTAATTGATTTCCCTATTTAAGTACTTTATATTTTTTTGAACATTAGGACAAATTTCGACCATAAGGAAATACTGAAAAGTATTATACAGCAAACATCCATTTCCTTCTATATTCTACAACTAATATTTAGGTACATTTGACTTATCACTTATTTACCCATTTAACAATCCCTCTTTCTGTTCATCTTATTTATTACTTGATGCACTTCACTGTCAGTCAAAGACATTAATACACTTCATATCTATTAGTATGCACATCATTAACTAGAGTTCAACATATAGCTTAGTTAGTGTGTATGTGAGAGTTTCAAAAACCACACAGCTTAAGTGGGACATTCCCTGAGTTTTGACAAATGAATATACCTGTGTAACCCCTATTATGACATCACTGTCAGCTTAGAAATTCCCCTCATTTCCCTTCCCAGTCAGTTTCCACTTCTCTCCTATCCCACAAAGCAGCTCTTGTTCTGAACTTTCTCACTGTAGGTTAGTTTTACCTGTTCTAGAACTTCACATAGAGGGAATCTTACACTATGCACTCTTTTTTTTGTACCTGGTTTCTTTCACCCAGTAGTGTTTTTGAGATTGATTCATATTGTTTTATCAGTAACTTCCTTCTTTTGCTGAGTATTATTCCACTGTTTGACTACACTACCATTTTTATCTCTTCTCTTGCTGTTGGACAACTAACCCAGTCTTCAGCTTTTGGCAACAATGAATAAAAATTCTATAAATATTCTAATACAGGTCTTTATGCTTTTACTTCTCACGTAAATACCAGGAGTAGAATGGCTGCATCAAAGAATAGGTGCATTTAACTTTTAAGTTTCTTAAAACGTACACGTGTTTTCCCAAAGTGGCTGTTTCATTTTACACTCTCACTGGCAATGCTGCTTCATATCCTCTCCAACATTTGGTGCTGTCATTTAAATTTAGTCATTTTAATGCAGTAGTTATCTTATTGAGGTTTTTATGTTAATTTGCCTCATGATGGAGAAGGAAATGGCAACCCACTCCAGTATTCTTCCCTGGAAAATCCCACGGACAGAGGAGTGTGGTGGGCTACAGTCCATGGGGTTGCAAAAGAGTCGAACACAGCTTGGCAACTGAGCACACACACATGGGTGTGTACAAGCTTTGAAGAATTCTGTGGTTATTTAACAGTGTCGCATGCTCATTAAAATAATTAAATATAGGGACGCCTCATCAGTGATATATTTTCCCAAGGTGTAAATGTCCTCTGTTAACCTATTTCTGCCTACAGAGTCAACTAATTTCACTAAGGCGAAGCTCCTTGGAAAAAATTTGTAGTCCCTGTTTGGTTCTGTTAAAAGCTTTGACTAGCAAATAAATCCTTTGCGTGCTTTTTGAATGTGGAAAAAAAAAAAAAAAACTTGTCTCATGACTAATGATGTTGAATACTTTTATATACTTAATGACTATTCACATATTTTCTTTCATGTTTGTCTTTTTATTGAATTAGTTTTTTAATATATTCTGGATATAAGTTCTTTGTTAGATATATGTGATGTGTTTTATGCTAGCCTATAGCTTGATTATTCATACTCTTAATAATATCTTGATGAGTGACAGGATTAAATTTTTTTGAATGTATCAGTATCTTTTCTTTCATGGTAAGTGTTTTCAAAGTCCTCAACAAGAAGCTTTTGCCTATCCCCAAGATGCGAAAATATTGTTTCCTTATAGAAGTGTAATAGTTTTAGCTTTTATAACAGCTGTGATTCATTTTTAATTTTATGTATGGTGTAAGGTAAAGGGTCAAAGGTTCATTTTTTCCCCCATAAAAGTATCAAGTTGTAATAGCATTGTATATTGAAAAGATTTTCCTTTTCTCATCTGGTTGCTTTGGTGCTTTTGTAAAATATCAAACCACATATTCAAATTTATTTTACTATTGATCTTATGGTCTTATTCTCCTATTCTTTTAACACTCCCTCTATTACTCTTAACACTACTCACTATTCTACTCATTTTGAATTGAGAAAACCAAGGCTTAGTGCAGTTCAAGAACTTGACCAAGGGGACACAATGCGAAGGACTTCTGGAACTACTATTGAATCATAAAGAAACTGTTCACATTTTAAACCTACTATAGCCAGTGAAATATTATTAAATGGACACTTTTTCTGAGGGTAATGGAGTAACAAAAATGAACAAGTGCATGTTTTTATATTTCAATACAGGTGGTATTTTCAGACTGCCAGCCAAACACATGCTTCTTTTGTAGGCTTGTGTGTATCTAAAACAACCTAGGACTACCCTGGTGGTCCAGTGGTTAAGACTCTGTGCTTCCACTGCAGGGGGCTCAGATTTGGTCCCTGGTTGTAGAAGTTCCTCGTGCTGCGTGGTGTGGGGGAAAAAAAAAACAAAAAATACCTCCCCTAAGCCCCCAAATAATTATCCCTCTAAAAACCCAGACAAAATAAAACAAAATCCCCCCCAAACTCACAAAAACCCAATCTATAATATGCATCCTTTTTTTGAAAAGATACAGAATTATAACAGTTACTTTACATAATTGAATAAGAACAACAGCTTTGAGCAAAAGTTTTTTGGACTTTAAGATAAAGAATGTATTTCTTTCACCCTGATCTAAAATGAAAATTATTCTTCCGTGATTCAGAGAAAGAAAACAATACTTAAAGGTATATGCCATGACGATAGATACAAGAATGAATTGTTGTTCAGTTGCTAAGTCTTGTCTGACTCTGTGACCCCATGGACTGTAGCACATCAGGCTCCTCCGTCCTCCACTATCTCCTGGAGTTTGTTCAAATTCATATCCATTGAGTCAGTGATGTTATCTAACCATCTCATCCTCTGCCACCCACTCTTGCCTTCAATAAAAACTAGAAGAAAATTCAATAGCCATTCTTGTTACTTTTTCTTTCTCTCCTATTCTGCTATACTAATACTTGGGCACCCAGCCTGTTTCCAAATATTTGGTATTATTTTCTTTTCCACATCATGGCAGCAAGTTTTCAGGCAAACTTGATCACCTACTGAGACTAGGCCAGCCTCAATAATCTAATTCACTTACTCAAAGAAATGCATTTGGGTCAGTTCTAATGAGGTGGATGAACCTACACCCTATTATAAATAGTGTGAAGCAAGTCAGAAAGAGAAAGAAAAATACCAGAGATGGTACTGATGATCCTACACACAACAGCAAAGGAGACACAGATGTAAGGAACAGACTTTAGGGCTCAGTGGGAGAAGAGGATGGGATGATTTGAGAGAAAAGCACTGAAGCATACACATTAGCATATGTAAAATAGATAACCAGTGTGAGTTGGATGTATGAAGTAGGGCACCCAGAGCCGGTGGGTGGTCTGCAACAACCTGGAGGGATAAGGTGAGGAAGGAGGTGGGAGGGGGTTTAGGATGCAGGGGACACATGTATACCTATGGCCGATTCATACTGATGTATAGCAAAAATCATCACAATATTGTAAAGTAATTATCCCTAATTAAAATAATTTTTTTTAATCTAATTTTCCAGATCACCTAGGTTCACCCCTGAGGCATGGGTTTCCTATGCCCACCCAACTCATCCAACTGTAACACGCAAATGAATGGCTTGTAAGGACCATCTTTTCCCAGATACAGAAAGGCAGCCTTGTTAAAAACCACTCATACATAATATCCTTTAGGAATGTCACAACCAAACCATTTATATTTTCTGAGTTATTGTTTTGACGAAAAAGTTTGGGATTTCTCTGTAACATCATACAGAAATCCCAAATGAACATTCTAGCCAACTCAATACATAAAATAAGAGTCACTCAACTATTCGAAGCCAACCTGAGACCAGGACCCATGTTTTCTTGACAATCACTATCTCCTCCCCCATTCCCAGTCCTGTATGTCTTCCCTCAACGATCTGTTAAACCAAGATGCTATAAAGTGGAACTAGGTTAGCTATTCATCGTTCCAAGATGGAAAAATTTAGCCCAGAGAAGAGGATGCCTGACAAGCAGTTAAGAGGCAGTTTCCCTGAGACCTGGTCAGCAAGGCTAGCCATTATTTTTCCCTTGTCCTTTAATAAAACAGAGAACTAAAAAAAGTATGCCTTAAGTCCAAGAACACACATCCCAATGACTATGTTGCTAATACAAGAAAGTTATGTGATCTGTGTGTGTTAATTACTACCAGAAAACATGCTTCTGGAACCTCTTAAAAATAGTGACTGTTATAAAAGTATAGCCAGGGAGTGGTACTTATCAATAACCTTGGGGTAAAGGACTTATCAAAAAAAGAATAGGAAAGGTTTATCAGTGTCAAAACTACTGATCTAAGAGGAAGACATTCTGCAGTAGTTTTAATATGATAGTTTAATATGATAAAGATACATTCAAAAACTAATTGCCCTTGAGAGACAAAGTTAGAAGACTTTGATTTCAAAACTTACTCAAAGTTCCAGTAATCAAGACAGTCCTGATTGGCATAAGGATAATATACAGACATACAGACTAATGGAACTGAGAGTCCAGAAATAAAACCTTATATTTATGGTCAATAATTTTTGACAAGGGTGCCAAGACAATACAATTGAAGTGAAAGTAGAAGTGTTAGTTGCTCAGTTGTGTTTGACTCTTTGTGACCCCATGGACTGTAGCCCATCAGGCTCCTCTGTCCATGGAATTCTCCAGGCAAGAACACTGGAGTGCTCCCTTCTCCAGAGGATCTTCCCGACCCAGGGATCAAACCTAGGTCTTCTGCATTGCAGGCGGATTCTTTACCATCAGGGAAGCCCCAAGACAATACAATAGTGGAGAAACTAGTCTCTTCTAACAAGGTACAGGGACAACTGCATATCCAGAAGTAAGATAATTAGACCTCCCAACTCAAATATATGCAAAAACTATCAAACTCTTAGAGGAGAATATAGATGTTAATTGTTCACGACCTTGGATTAGGCAATGGTTTCTCAAACATGAAACCAAAAGCACAATTGACAAAAAAAAAAAAAAAAGAGAGAGAGAGAGAAATTGGCTTTCATACAAATTAAAAACATCTGGGGAATTCCCTAGTGGTCCAGTGATTAGAACTCCATGCTTTCACTGCCAAGGGCATGGGTTCAATCCCTAGTCAGGGAATTAAGATCCCTCAAGCCACATGTGTGTGTACTGTCGTGTCTGACTCTTTGTGACCCCATGGACTGTAACCGAGTAGGATCTTCTGTCCAAGGGATTTGCCAGGGAAGAATAGTAGAGTGGGTTACCGTTTCCTCCTCAAGGGAATCATCCTGACCCAGGGATCGAACCCACGTTTCTTGTGTCTCCTGCATTGGCAAGCGGATTCTTTACCAATAGTACCACCTGGGAAGCCCAATCACAAGCTGCAGAGCACAACCAAAAGGTAAAAAAAAAAAATCTATGCTTCACAACCCATGCAGTGGAAGACAATACTTGTAAATCATATGACTGATAAGAATATACAGAACATACAAAGAATGCTTACAACTCAACAATAAAAGGACAAACCACTCAATTAAAAAATGGGCAATAACTTTGAATAGACATTTCTCCAAAGAAAGAAATCCAAATGGTCAATAAATACAATATCATTAATAGGAAAATGAAAATTAAAAGCACAATGAGGTATCACTTCATACCCTCCAAGATGGCTATAATCAAACAGAGAGTAGCCAGTGTTGGCAAGGGTGTGAAAAAATTGAAACTCACAAACCTTTTTAGTGAGAATGTAAGATGATGCAGTTCTTTTGGAAAAGGTCTGGCAATTTCCCAAAAAGTTAATCATAGGGTTACCATGTGATCCATCAATTCTACTTCTGGTATATACCGCAAAGAATTGAAAACATACATCCATATAAAAAACTTGGGACATGAATGTTAATAGCAGCATGATTCATAATAGCCCAAAAGGGTTAATTGGGTCATTAACAATTGAAATGTCCATCAACATGAATGGATAAACAAAATATGGCATATGTATACAAAGAAATATTATTTGGCAATAAAAAGAAGTACTGAAAATATCATAGGATAAGTAAACTTTGAAAACATGCTAAGTGA